ATTATTCCTTCTGTGGATGCATATGGATGCGTTACTACAGCTTCAGTTCATACAGCTCTTTCTTCCTGTTCTTGTAGGCACGCTGAACACGTGCAGTGGATGAAGGATCACAGAAAAGAATTTTTATATGGTCATATGTATGGTCCCAACAAGATTTCATCTGTACTTGACTGTGGAAAAAAAATATGTTGAACTGACAACTTGGTCCTGCGTAGAGAACAGCAGTATTTGGATTTGTAACTCACTCCTGCATATTTGAGAAAGGTGTACATTAAAAGACTAAGTACATCTGTGAAAATGCTAAAGTTAAACAGTTACTGGTACTTGCTGGAGGATGATTTTAGGCAACAGATTATTTTGAGGAAAAAATACCTTAATCGCCACAACCAAAGCAAACAATACAGATAATGATCAATTGCCAGGAATGAGTAGTACAAGCTACTTTTTTTAAAAAAACTCTAGTGTCACAATAAACTTTGAAGCACAGTCAAAGTCATCATGTCAGCCCCACAGCCATACTCCCAAGGAAAGTCTAGACACGTGTTCTGTATCAGTAAACTTCCCACAGAATGTTTTAATCTTTGTCAGGAGCAGGTCTTTTACAAAGCAAATGGGTCCTAATTTCCTATTCAAATAGAATCTGTGATCGGGTGCTTTAGATCACTGGTTCTTAACCTTGGGTTACTCAGGAGTTTTGGACTGCAACTCCCAGAAGCCTTCACCACCAGCTGTCCTGACTGGGGTTTCTGGGAGTTGCAGTTCAAAAGCATCCCAGTAACAAAGGTTAAGAACCACTGCTTTAGATTACAACATAGATATGGCAATAAATTACTAATAAGACTTATAGTATTTTTTTTGGCTCACTGCTTTTCCCATCTGAGATATTTGCAATAATAATACTGTTTCTTACCGAGTGTTAGCACAATTAAAATAGATACTGAAATGCTTTTAAAGCACCATCCAAATTATTGTTACAGGTACAAGTATTAACTCAATTGTTCGGAGTGTTTGGGAGATGCCTGCCTGCCTGTACAGTTGCATTTAATTGAGAACATAATGCACTTACTGATGGAGCACATGGTTCAAACACTGGTGTCATCAGTCAAAAGGCTCTGGCATAGCACATCTGAGAGACTCTCCTTTAGGAGAAACACAAGGCGGGGGGCTACCCCACTTGGGTCAAGTTGTTGACAAAGTAAAAAAAGGCAAACTGTAGAAGCAGACCATGATGTGGTGATTCATGACAGGACCAGTTTTTGAGGGGTTGTTGTGAGGACAATCAACACGTTAAAGCTTTCAAATTTAAATTTTCTGTTTGTTTGATTGATCGCGCCTTTATCTCCCTTTTGATTTTGGATCCAGCAATCTACTGTCCATTCTTCTCCTTACGTCGCCACCTGCTTTTAGGTTTAATTGTACTACAGCACCAGTTGTTTCCAGAACACTAACTGAATGTTGCTAGTGGCTAATAGTGATTGCGAACTTTAAACAGACTGTTAACACATTTAAGCAAATTACTATGATTTCAAGATGTAAGGACATCCTCATTCTCAGTTCAAGATTTGGGATTGCTGATTGAAAGATACATTCGGGTTTCAGAGACATTTCTAATGTTGCATAGGGTTTACACACTGATTCAATATTCTTTGCTCTTACTGCAGTTATTACTGTTGCCAACATCATCCTTCAACTTCATTTCAATACAATTATTCACTTAAACTTCTGCTCTATTTAATTAATCTAATTTTTCTAGTTGTGCCACAACACTAAGAATCCCTACAAAATGTTAATCTGTGAACTCTTAAAATTATTTACAAGAGTATCTGGAGTGCAGCGTTCATTTATTTTCAATCAATGTTACTGAGTCACAATTATAATAGAGGGTTTTCTCCCCCCAAATGAATGAAAACTATTTATAGTTCATGGTCCACTGACTGGCACGAAGGACTAAAGGATAATTTACTGCAGTGCCAGACAGAATATATTAATGGACTGATGCTTTAGGAAGAGCAAAGCTTTAACATATCCAAATCTTGGGGAAGAGTGAACAGTTTTAGAATTCACACTCACTCTGGTTTCAACATAAAATTGCTTGTTTCTCCCTTCCTTCATAAATCTTGCTGCAACTGGGCCATCTTGGTCTGATTCATAATTCTTTAGCCTGCAAATGATCATCTTGGGTAAAATCATACTGGAAATGAGATGTAGATACCAGTTTTTTGAACCAACATCTTTATATGAACACTGCACACAGGGCCTCATCATTCACATGGCTGTGACACCTTCCAAAGGGAAGTCCCCAGGTTGTAAATAGCAGACTCACAAGCACAGCCATTGCTGGGAAATATTGGTTCATGAAATCATATCAATCGCCTGCAACCTGAGCAGCAGCAATTTTGGGATGAGGTGCCCTTCCCTATGGTCAACTTGATAATCATAACATGATTTATTCCAGGTTTGAAGCTCATATTCAGACAGGAGATTTTGTGGTTGTATGGGCTGAAAGTATAAACTGGACTCTTGTCCTAGATGAGAGTTGAGATTTCAAAAGTAATCTGATCCACCCCTTGGTGCTACAGATTTTTGGGTAAGTGGCTATTCAGCCACTTACCAAAATCACTAACAAAGGAGAATTGAATATCTCATGAGGCAGTCTGTTTCACTGTCAATCAGCTTTCCTTTTCATTTCTTTTTTCTCCCCTATTTTCTTTGCCATACTTTCTTTTCAATGAAGAGAACTAAGGCATCCTACAAAATAGTTAAAAAACAAATAAGGTTCAAAAGGCACTCCAATCAGTGGTTTGATGGTAAATTTGTAACAGCAGGTGCTCATCATTATGGTCCTATAGCCAGCCAGCTCCAAGAGAGCCAAAAATGGAGGTACTGTAGCTGAATTTATCAAAATATGAGGAACTTATCTTTTGTAACTTCAATGGCTCTTAATTGTCCATTTGAGACGTAACAGTTCTGAAACAAAAATAATAGTAAGAGCAAGGATAGCTTGCAACAATATATTGTTCCTAGGAAGATACGTCTATTTTCTAGGTATAGTGAGAATTGCAGCTAAATTCATAGGGAACAGAGAAGCCTGGAGAGGCAGATGATGACATTGTCTCTGTAGCTCAGAAAGTCCCTGGGCCCTGCTACACTTCTCATTAAAACTCACATTAAACATAGTGACCAATAAAAGCAACTGCTGAATTAAAACATTTAAAACAGCATAGAAAAAAACCCTTCCTCTACTTTATTGGCCAAAAGCTTGCTTGAAAAGGAAGGTCATCTCATGCTGACAGAAGAACAGGGAGGAAGAATCCAGGCTGATCTCCTGTGGAAAGGAATTCCACAGCTTGGAAACCATGACATCAATATATATCATTTGTACATATCAGTAAGCAGCTTCTAATATTTAGTCACACAATCTCCTTTTCATTTGATACTGTTAGTGCAGGTCTTACACTCAGGAATGAGAGAAAACTCATTAGCCACATGGCAGTCTTTCAAATATTTCAGGATGTTTATCATATTGCTTCTTAATAATCACTTTTCTAGGTAAAATATGCCCATCTTTTCAAAGTTTTCTTCATAGAGCTTAATATTCAGATCACTCATCACCTTTGTCTTAATACATATCTTGGACCTCCAAAAGACAACACATGGTTGTCTCCTCGTTTTCCCACCAAGTCTGCCACTGCCTGTAGACTGTGTTCATTCTGAGAATTAACACAAAACTATCCAGACCTATGGTTTCTTGTTCCCATTCACCTTAGTTGACAAAGGTGGGGTAGAACCAGTTGCTCAGAGGGAAGATTGGGTGGGGCTGGCCCACTGAAAAGAGCCATGAGCTTCACACTGTTCTTAGTCTTTCACATTCAATAAGTATGGTGACTGACAGAAGGGAAAAGATCATGTTGTGCTTCCATAATAAAATAAAATAAGATAGTGTAAGAAATTGGAATTTATACATAATTAATAAATTAAAAACAGTGGTGCCTCGCTTAGCGACGTTATTCCGTTCCGGAAAAAACATTGCTAAGCGAAAACATCGCTAAGCAAAATT